TTCTTTCATAAAATATTAAAATGCAATGCGTTGATCCAAGGATGTAAACAAGATCTACGTAATTTAAATAAGAACATAAACTAAAAATAAAATCATATTGGCTGCATTGAATGATATCTTGGTATTAATCTTATAAGTATTGTTTTTTTTATTCATTGTAAGATCATATAATTTAATTTAATTTAATTCAATTTAACATTTAAAATTAGCATATAATATTACTATACGCTAATAAAATAAGAACATATAATTAAATTAAAATATAATATTATATTATAATATAATATATATATATATAGTATAATAATATTATTATATTATAATATTATAGTAAAATATATATAGTATAATATTATTATACGCTAATTTAAAATGTTAAATTAAATTAAATTATATGTTCTTATTTTATTAGCGTATAATAATATTATATGCTAATTTTAAATGTTAAATTGAATTAAATTAAATTATATGTTCTTAAAATGAATAAAAAAAACAATACTTATAAGATTAATACCAAGATATCATTCAATGCAGCCAATATGATTTTATTTTTAGTTTATGTTCTTATTTAAATTACGTAGANTTGATGAGTGGTAATAAAAATGATGAAAAATGCACCCATTAAAAAAATTAAAAATACAGCAAAAGTATGAGAGACTCATCGACACTATGTATCCTTGCAGTAAAAATCTGATCTTCCAAATGTCTCAGATTAGAATTAGATGTGTCCAGTTTTTGTACTACATTGCATAAAATAAAAATGTCGCATTCATGGCAGTCCTCTGCCAATAATAAACAATAAATTACATCAAATACGAAAAGGTCCCGCTGTTCAAGTATTAAATTACTTCGAACCTGCAGGATTTTTCAGGATGCAACAATTTGGCAATCGACGCGTTAATATTTTCCCGTTCTCCCGTAATTGCACGCCGTGCAACGATTCTCCAGTGAAACGATGTTCCAGTAGTAATGGGTTTGCAGCAACGCGGCGACCGCAAACTTTTCAAACGCCGTCATTAGTGTGTACCGAGACATCGGCACACACGGGGAGGTCTCTATGTACACACAGGGAACCGCGTGAGCGCGCGGTTTCACGGCTCCGCTCTTTTCTCTGGCGACGTGTCTTTTTTTCTCTTTTTTTAAGCGACGTTTGCCGAGTGAAAACCTTGTCGCCCGCAAACCTTAAATCACCCGGCACCGGGATTTCGCAAGAAAACTGTATCCCGGAACGATTAATCCCGGACCACCGTCGGTCAGCGATCTATAACGTGTATCGAAAAATGTTTCCACGTTTTCTACGTCGCGTGACCCGCCGTCTGTTCGCGGTTTCTCTTTTTACGCCTTGCAACTGCAACGCGTTGCCCGACAATTTCGATGGATTTTTCGCGGTGGAGTTAAATCCGCGCCGGCTTGCAAAACCTGGCGGGGGTTTTTTCTTGTTTGCCGTGATCGACGCTGTCAACAGCCCCCCGTCCCCGCCACGGAACAGCTGGGAGATAAATTGATACGCGGCAATTAGCGCTGGGAACTTGAATTTTGCTTTAAATCATTTTCGTTGGAAATTGCTGTTATAAATTGCGAAAATCGTTGTTTTTGATTGCGAATGATCATTGTCGATGATTAGAATTCTATTTTGATTGCGTCCGATTCTTGAAATCTTGATCAAGAAGTCTTGATTAAGATGAAAAGTAATATATTAAAGAAATATAAAAATTATAAAAATACTATATAAAAATGTAAAAATAATATATATAAATCTTGATTAAGATATAAGCTTAATGTAGTTCACGGTCACATTCGATGACTGCGATAAATTCTCCCTAGAAGGACCGGAGCTCGGAATCGAAAACGGTAATCGGCGGACACTCGGACACGATTTTTCGAGCCTCGTGCTTGTTTTTATAGTTGCTGACACCTCGTGGGAGAAGGAGAAGGGGACGAGAGGGGAATAGGGAGGGAGAACGAGAGAGAGAGCGAGAGAACGAAACTTAAGGCAATCGGCAAAAAGGCTAGGAATGCTAGAATAAAAACGATGACCTAAATTTTTTATTTCTAATTGTTTGCCACGATTCGAAGGCAATTCGGAGACTACTTGCCACGATTCGAAGGCAATTCGGAGACCACTTGCCACGATTCGAAGGCAATTCGGAGGCCACATGCCACGATTCGAAGGCAATTCGGAGATCACTTACCACGATTCGAAGGCAATTCGGAGACCACTTACCACGATTCGAAGGCAATTCGGAGATCACTTGCCACGATTCGAAGACAATTCGAAGACCACTTGCCACGATTCGAAGACAATTCGAAGACCACTTGCCACGATTCGAAGGCAATTCGGAGACCACTTGCCACGATTCGAAGGCAATTCGGAGACCACATGCCACGATTCTCACATGCAACGATGAAGGTCGTTCAAGATCATCTAATATCGTGTAAATTTAACCTTTTTTTAATGCGAGTACGCGTTACGTTTACATACGAAACTAGGAAACATTGAACGAAGATAGAACTTTTGGGACGTTCAACGGATGTTTCTACCGTCGACGAAGGATACTTTCGAATCCAGAGACAGCGGATGAAGTAATTTTATAGATTCCTTGATTACAAGTGTCCACAAATGGTGTTGATTCAAAAGATTTCCGGAATTTGCAACATTCTATTTGCAGTTCCTCTTAAAATCGTTTCTTCGTGCAACTACGCGCGAATAAATATTTTCACAGACTTTCATAAATCTGCTGGAAAACGTTCCTCGAACCTATCCCTCATTGGCTTATCGAGATGTTAATATTAACTAATACCGTACCGTGTTTATTTTCAGATAATCCAGAATCCATTTATAAGCTGTACCATTATTAATCAACGACATTGACTACGATTAAAATATTCTGTTTTACAACATAATTTCTGCACTTGAAAATAAATAAAATTGCAGAATAATTTACAAATACCAACCGTTGTCCACAATGATTTCATAATACCATAGTTAATTTATAATACGCTGAAACGCTGTGAAACAAGACTTGATCAGACAACTGTTTATCCGATTAATCTCGTCGAAAAATTGCTCTCCTTCTCCTCAGTTCATTCCTTTGATCTTCGACTGAAACGATTATGTCAAGGTTTTAACGGTAACGTCGCGACGAATCGTGCGGATTATACTGTTCGCAAAACTGCGGTTTCGGGTAACCATGCTGATTAGATTTCCCGCGTCGGCATACCTTTCCGACGCGGAAATAGACCGGAGGAGCTTATCGCAGCAGGAGGAAACGATTTCAGCTGGAAATTTGATTGGACCGTTTGCGCAATGAAAAAATAAAATAAACGAATTCCGCGAACTTGCCGCGAATTTCCGAGCTTGCTGCGCACACAACCGCGTGCCATCTTTAATAACAACGATGGCCACTATGTTTTTCTATCGCCTATAATACGTTTATCGTTGTTGCTGGCGAGCATCGAAGCGAGCTCGAGCGGTCGTAAAATTAGAATCGACCGCGCCTGTGTACGAGCGCGAAACAGACGGAGTTGGGAAATTTTGCCAATAATTAATTCACATCGCAGAAGTTCGATCAGCCAGATCGGTCGATACGGCAAACATTTCGCTTGTAACGATCCGCTGTAGCCTATACATAGTTCTCTTTTTCTCTGTTTTTTTTTTTCGTCGGACGAAGACACCTGAGGTGTACAGGTGGTCGTCCTAGCTGTGTCCACTACACTCTAATTACTCCGGGCTCGTAACATATGGACTTAGAGCTGAGAGAGAACAGCTGCGGTGACCGTCGCGTCGTTGTATTAACCACGACGAGCTGCATCGCGTTATTACGAATTTCAATTATACGTGGAATAAGAATTAGTAACGTGGAGCACTTCGAACGATTGGCTACGGGTTTTACGTGTTTGCGATAAAAAAAAAACGACACAGACAGAATTTATTTTGAGGGGATCGTGAACTGTTAAAAATAAAAGTCTTGCTTAGGTGGACCAATATTTATAACAATTTCAAAATTACATTAGTCAGAGTTAACAGGAACGGTTGGAAGTTCGTCGAAAGATAGACATATTCCGTAGACCCTTCAAGATCGTTCAATAAACAATATGAAAACAATTTCATTGTTCGAATTAATGTAAATTAAAATTTCTGTATGAAACAGTTCGGTGTTAAATGAATAAATGTTGCAATTGTTGTATTAAACGATTCGGTGTTAAATAAATAATAGTTGCAATTGTTGTATTAAATCAATAAACATTGCAATTGTTGTACTCTCTCTCTCTGCGTTAAATCAATAATAGTTGCAATTGTTGTATTAAACGATTCGGTATTAAATCAATAAACATTGCAATTGTTGTATTAAACGATTCGGTGTTAAATCAATAATAGTTGCAATTGTTGTATTAAACGATTCGGTATTAAATCAATAAACATTGCAATTGTTGTATTAAACGATTCGGTATTAAATCAATAATAGTTGTAATTGTTGTATTAAACGATTCGCTATTAAATCAATAATAGTTGCAATTATTGTATTAAATGATTCGGTATCAAATCGATAAACATTGCAATTGTTGTATTAAACGATTCGGTATTAAATCAATAATAGTTGTAATTGTTGTATTAAACGATTCGCTATTAAATCAATAATAGTTGCAATTATTGTATTAAATGATTCGGTATCAAATCGATAAACATTGCAATTGTTGTATTAAACGATTCGGTATTAAATCAATAATAGTTGTAATTGTTGTATTAAACGATTCGCTATTAAATCAATAATAGTTGCAATTGTTGTATTAAATGATTCGGTATCAAATCGATAAACATTGCAATTGTTGTATTAAACGATTCGGTATTAAATCAATAATAGTTGTAATTGTTGTATTAAACGATTCGCTATTAAATCAATAATAGTTGCAATTATTGTATTAAATGATTCGGTATCAAATCGATAAACATTGCAATTGTTGTATTAAACGATTCGGTATTAAATCAATAAACGTTGTCATTGTTGTATTAAACGATTCAGTATTAAATCAATAAACGTTGCAATTGTTGTATTAAACGATTCGATATCAAATCAATAAACGTTGCAATTGTTGTATTAAACGATTCGGTGTTAAATCAATAATAGTTGCAATTGTTGTATCAAACGATTCGCTATTAAATCGACGAAAAAGTTGAACGATCTCGTATAGATATCTTTGTGAGATAATTCACGTGACCTTGAAGCACCACACGGAATTCTTCTACAAATATTTGCAGAACCCGAGACGAAAAGAAGCCGCGCGAGCAGCGCCGTGATCGATCGCTTCTACAAACTTGATAGATACAATAACTCTTATCGATTCGAGATATCCCTAATTTCCTACTTCTGTCATTCGCGATCAATTTTGCGTAGGAACATTTGGTCCGCTGTCCGAAATCCTCATTCACGAAATAGACCGTCGATCAGTCTTCGCCGCTGTCGAGCAGATTTCATACGTTGCTTCCTGAAACAATCACGATTAGTATTAATGTTATGGAAACGCGTCAACGGAAAGGTTAACGAAAAAAAGTTGATTGACCTGTTGAATGTAAGATCAACCAGGTAAAAAGCCTCGCATATTCTAGTAACAGCTTCGAGCGAACCAATTCAACGAACAAATTGATTTTATAGAAATCTTCGCCCTGTGTTTAACGCTCTTCCGGCAGGACTACATTTTAGCTAATTATTGCATTCTGCGACATATTTTATGCCATCGAACTCTGCTTGAATCGATTCTCGATGCAACAAATAGCTTAATTGAATTAATAAAATAAAAATGAAATTAGGTATGAAAATACTTCATTGAATCGTCCTGTACATTCTATAGAATCTTTCAAATTTTGTATACTTTTAAATGGAATCAAATGATAATTACAATTAAGTGAAAGTTAACTAGGAACATTAAAAGAAATTGAGAATACTAATACAGGCTGCCCCAAAATTGTACAAGCGAGAAACGAGGGGTTCCTGAGGTCATTTGAAGTAACTTTTTCCTTAGCGAAAATGCAATCCGTCGCTTCGTTTACGAGTTATTAACGAAAAACGGTGACCAATCGGAGAGTGAGCGCGGTCAGCGCTCCGCCCTTTCGGCCAATGCCGCGGCGCGCCGGCCGCCTGACGCAGCGACAGTAGTCACGAGGGCGGGGCATCGGCTACTCCCGCCTCTCATTGGTCACTGTTTTTCGTGAATAACTCGTAAACGAAGCCGCGGATTGAATTTTCGCTAAGGAAAAAGTTACTTCAAATGACCTCAGGAACTTCTCATTTCTTGTACAATAATTTTGGGTCACCTTCTATATCTCCCCCAATCTCTCGAAATCAATAAAGAACGAAAGAAACGTTTAATTAGTTTCCGTATCTTAAAGCGGACAATTTCGATCCTGCATGAACGTTGTCACACTAATTACACCAATTAGCCAAAGAACATTCGGACTACCATTCGAGTATCCATATCACAGACATCCTCCTCATCACTGTTCTCAGTTCTCAACTTCTCGAACTCTCCGTGATCAATACGTAGGAGACCTCGCATGTCCGACCAAAGCGGGTCGGTTTTCACTAGCTTCGTTCTGGATCAACCTCGTCGACAACTTGTCGGTTATTCTCTCTGGCACAACAGGCTTGTTCCCGAACTTGATCCCTCCGTTTGTGCCTTGCGGGTACGAAGGCAAAGCCTCCAGTATTCTAGGAGGATTCCTTTTCACCGCCGTCGGATAGAGACCCCTGGTCATCGAGGCGTCCTCTAACATCCAACTTGGTCTTCCAAACCGACTCAGTGGCAGACGCGGAGTTGGCCTGTAGGCATCCATGTCGCCGATCACCGGTGCACTACTTTGCAGATTCAGGGCGTTCAGTTGCAGGTAACTGGCACCCATTGGTATCGTTTCCTCGGAGCCACCGGATCTGCTGATTCGACTGCTGGAGTCTGAAAGTTAACAGTTTTTGATGTGTCTTTCTGTTTCATAAAATTCTAGGACTTCATTTACCTGAACGACGGTTCAATCATTAACACACACTGACTAGAATTATACTTTCTTTGACAGTAATAATGTTCAACTAAATTAATCGGCTCTATGTTATAAATAACAACGGTTAAGCTGTCTCAAACAATGTTACTTTGTGCTAGCTAAGTTAAACTCATTAAAAGTATAAGTCACTCTAAGTACAGGTAACTCATGTAAGCTATCTTGAACAATGCTAACTCGTGCTGGCTAAGTTAAACTCATTAAAAGTCTAAGTTACTCTAAGTACAGCTAACTCATCCAAGCTATCTTGAACAATGCTAACTCGTGCTGGCTAAGTTAAACTCATTAAAAGTCTAAGTTACTCTAAGTACAGCTAACTCATCCAAGCTATCTTGAACAATGCTAATTCGTGCTAGCTAAGTTAAACTCATTAAAAGTCTAAGTTACACTAAGTACAGCTAACTCATCTAAACTATCTTGAACAATGCTAACTCGTGCTGGCTAAGTTAAACTCATTAAAAGTCTAAGTTACTCTAAGTGCAGCTAACTCATCTTAGCTAAATTGGATTCAAGAATAGTCTAAGTTAGCTTTCCTATCAAAGGTAGCTAAAATAACTTCACTAGAAGTCTAAGCTGTACTGAAGACAGCTGATCAAAGCTAACTAAGGCAACGTCGCTAGATGCCTAAGCTAAAATGAAGACAGCTAACTCGTCAAAAGTAGCTAAGTTACATTTACTAGAAGTCTAAGCTACCCTAAATACAGCTAACTCATCTTAGCTAAGTTGAATTCAACAATAATCTAAGCTACATTGAACACACAGCTAACTCGTTAAAATGATCTAAGTTACAATAATCAAAGGTTTAAGCTACGCCGAACGCAGTTTACTCAACAAAATTAGCTAAGTTAAATTAACTAAAAGTCTACCAATAAGCCAAACACAGGTAGCTTGTGAAAGGTAGCTAAGTATAAATTCCTTAAAAGTTTAGATCATCAAGAATAGATCAAGCAAATTTACTAAAAGTCTACGCTCCTCTGAAGACAGCCGACTCATCAGAGATAACTAAGTTAAATTCACCAACAGTCTAAGCTATACTGAACGCAACCGACTCATCCGAAGCTGGCGAACTGGAGCTCACCGAAAGTCTTGGCTGCCCTAACATGAGCCAGCAGCTTGTCAATCCTGTTCCTGCGGAAGTAAGTATCAGCGATGTCCATTTTCTTGGTCTCCTCTTGCTCGCTGCTTTCTTCGTTGTCAGCCTCGTTGCCAATTTCGTCTTCGATGTCTTTGCCGTTGCTATTGTTGTTGAGATCAGGTTTGGAAGGCGGTATGGAGTACTGCGCGTTGTCCTTGTGAACCAACGACGGCGGAGGAAGAGGGATATGCGGCGAGGTGTCTGGCAGCCGCCAGCGACCCAGCTCGTCGCACCAGGTGGCCATCGATCTTACAGCAGCGACATCGCGAAAGGGACAACCGGGTCGAAGATGGGGCACCATGGCGTCGCATATTTGGGACGTCAGCAGCTCTCTGCGAAGAAGGTCCCGGCGTTCCGCGTCCCACGAGGCTTGGAGGTCGGCTGCCTCTGCCTCCAGTTGCTTCACCCTTTTCGCCATCCTCTTGAGGGCGTCCTCTGTGGTCCTGTTACAGAAAGCTTTTTTTAGCTTAGTTTCTCTTCCTTTGCGTTGCAACTTGGCGCCTTTCTTTAGAAGATCAGATTAGTGATCTGATCGAAGTGTAAAGGGAAAACGTATGAACAGACTTATTAGTTGACTGCGGATTTGATGTATTTATAGCAAATTGTGGAAAGACTATATGAATTTAAGGATATCAACCTATTATTTTCTATTGATTGAGATTATTGAAGCAAGAATGAAATAATAAAGCAAAACTGAATGAGTCAGATTGCAAATTGTGAAAAGATTACATGAATTTGAGGATATCAACCTATTATTTTCTATTGATTGAGATTATTAAAGCAAGAATAAAATAATAAAGCAGAACTGAACGAGTCAGATTGCAAATTGTGAAAAGATTACACGAATTTAAGGATATCAATCTATTATTTTCTATTGATTGAGATTATTAAAGCAAGAATAAAATAATAAAGCAGAACTGAATGAGTCAGATTGCAAATTATGAAAATATTACACAAATTTAAGGATATCAACCTATTATTTTCTATTGATTGAGATTATTAAAGCAAGAATAAAACAATAAAGCAGAACTGAATGAGTCAGATTCCAAATTGTGAAAAGATTACATGAATTTAAGGATATGAACCTATTATTTTCTACTGATTCAGATTATTGAAGCAAGAATAAAATTTATTTACCATCGCTTGTTTCTTAGAATCGACACAATTTTTATTTTGCATGAAGATCTGCAGTCTACTTATGAGATTAATAAGTCTTTACATAAAAAATTCTCATTCTATTAAGAAGAGAAAGAGCCTAGAAGAGGATTTTCTATGATCTACAAGAGGATTCTCTGGAAAATGAACCTCTAAGGTGACCCATAGGAGGATTTCCTATGAAGATCCAGATGAGGATCCTCTAAGAAGGCCAAGACAACAGAATCCTCTACCAAGCGGTAGAAGAGGACCTTCTAACAAAACCATAAAAGGAGGAAGATCCCCTAAAAAGACTCTGCAAGAGAATCCCTTGACAAGTCCCAAAAGTGGATCCTCTAACAAGACCTACAAAAGGATCCCCTAAAAAGACCCAGAAGAGGAACCACTTTCAAGCCTGACCCTAGCCCAAAACATTCGTCTCCAAAATCAACTCTAACAACAGCGTTATTTCTAGAGGGACTGATAGTTCCAAGATATCCGTGTCACCGCACCTAAGTTGCCCGTAGACTTGGAAGACACTGCCGTTGCCCTCTTGAGCGCCGGACTCCAAGACCGAAGCAAGAGTCTCCAGCTTTTTCCTCCTCTTCTCTCGCCTTCTCCTCAGCTCCGCGTTCCCTTGCTCTTCTCCCCCAATCGTCAACTTCTCCAACCTCTTCAGCACCTCCTGCATAGCCGCCTCCCGCTTCTTCTTCCGCCTCTCCTCTCGCTCTCGGTCCTGTTCGTCGATCGGCACCTGGGAGACTGGCTTGGAAGGTATCCCGTTCAGCCCGATCCCCTCGGAGCGCGACTTCAGAGCCTCCAGCTCCTCCCGGAGCCTCTGAGCCGACAGGTTCGAATGCTCGCACTCCTTCTTCAGCCTTTCAACTTCCTCCAGGTATCCCACCTGCCTGGTCTCCTCCTCGTCCACTTTCTCCGGCTGGGCAGGGATCTCTTTCAACGTGGACTGATCGCTCGATTCCAACAGGGAACGAAGACGCTGCAGCTCCAACTGGTACTGTCTCAGCAGCGCGTCTTTGGGGTCCTCGTTCACCACCGGCTTGTTCTTGATGCATCTGGCCCTGGCCGCGTATCGCAACGTGCTCAGAGTCTCCTCGGAATCTACGTCGCTGGGGCTCACGCAGGCGATCATCAAGGTCCTGGCGTTGCCGCCGAGGCTGTCCCTTAGCAGCCTGGTCAGCTTGCTGTCCCTGAAAACGCATTTCAAACCAGCTCTTAATCAGCGCTATCCAGGGCCTAGAACATGGTAAAAAGCGACCGCCACAAAGAACCCTGTTCGAAGCAACGCTTCCGACGAGCTTTGAATCGGCGCTATCTAGACCTGGAAGACATCATTAACCTTTTAGGCACGACGCGCCACTACAGTGGCTTCCGCGGATATCATCTTTCAGAACGACACGCCACTATAGCGGCTTTCGCGGATGTCATCTCTCTGGACGACGCGCCACTATAGTAGCTTGCTCTGGTAGCTCACTCGCTCATCGTTTGAACCAAATAATCGTCTTCATACGCATTGTTTCGCGCTTCTTTTGTCTTCGCATCGATTTACAACAGTCCACAGGCTGCCCCAAAAATGTCTCGCAATCCGGAAATGGCGGGTTCCTCGGATCATTCGAAGCAACTTCTTCCTTTACAAAAATGTTCTCCGAGGCGCCGTTAACGAGTTATCAACGAAAAACAGTGACCAAT